CCAGTAGGAAATTTATAGATATAGATAAATAGATATACTCAATCAGAAATATAAAGATACACATATTGCTGCAGTGTAGAGCTATATGGCCAAAATCATGAATCTACATCAAACAGGATCATAATAAATACACCTCAAGCAAAATACAGAAAAAAATATACAACCTATTAAACAATTTTAACACCAAAAATGTTGGCCAAAACACATTTTGGTGCTTCAAATCTTAGACGTGCTTCTGGGTATATTTGACCTGTTGGTTCCAAAAAATGGCATCACCTATCAGCTCTAGGTCTTGGTATACAGAACATATGCCATATACAGTCTTCATCTGCACATCCAAAGAAAATAATGATAACTATAAGAACCTAGAGCTGATACAGTCTATTCAATGCAATTTTCTGAATCAGTGCCCCAAATTATCCAAGGAACAGGCCTAAAAACTAAGGGCATTATCCAATGCAGCCCCTTCCCATTTATTCACATTTTTGAAACAGTTCCCTAATAAAGCATCACAGAATCCATGAAACGGCACAGACAGACTTCCACATGTAGGTTTGTGATGCTTTATCAGGGAACTGTTTTAGAAGTGTTAAGAAACAGTGATAGGAATTCAAAGGTGCTAGCCAAATCAACACAGAAAAAGAAAATGGAAGGAATGATAAATACGATAAAAGATAAAACAGGTAAATTATGTAGAGCTATGAAAGAAAAATTGAAAGTATTTGAAGAATTTTATAAAGAACTATATCAAACCAAAGCAAGCCCCATAGAGGCAATTAGGAAATATGTGGAGGAAAATTGGGAGAGTAAGCTGGAGGAGAAAGATAAAGAGTTACTGGAACAACCTATCAAGAAAAAAGAAATAGAGGAAGTTATTAAGAAATTAAAATTAGGGAAAGCTCCGGGCTTGGATGGTTTAGGGACAGAATATTATAAAAGCTTTAGAGAAGTTTTAACCCCAAAATTATTAGAATTGTATAATGGAATAATGAAGGGAGATAAAATACCCGAATCATGGAGGAGATCATTAATAATATTAATACCTAAACCTGATAAAGACTTAACAGACCCAGGGTCATATAGGCCCATATCATTAATTAATCAGGATGCAAAGATATTGTCCGCGATAATAGCCAATAGAATGAATAAATGTATGTATAAGTACATAAAAGAAGATCAGTGCGGGTTTGTAAAAGGAAGACAAATGTCAAATTTGATAGGGAGAGTATTAAATA